AAAACCTAAGAGCTATGCATGACAAAATTGGCTTAGGTTAATTTGCAAAGTAATATTGGGCCATAATTTTAAAATAAGTGAATGACTATAAAGTGTGCTGAATTACTTTTGGAAAATGTTTTATCCTGAGAGAGACTGCCTGTTGGAGAGAGGGGTCACGGTCTCCTAAGAGCTGTCTCTGGGGATGGCACCAGGCTGAAGAAGCTAGTCTCCAGAGAGCACACTCAGAATAGGACCATGGTTTATAGCATCAAGACGTGAATAGCAGCAGAGCGTGAACGGAAAAAGAATATCTTATTTCTTGACACCAAGCTAAAATATAAAAACTCAAGAATCATTATTGAATCTAGTAATATACAGTCACTTCAAAGAGATTATAATATAAAATATCCCACATTTTATCCTCCCAAAATAGTGAAAAGATTGACGTTAGTATAAGGATGGTCCCACACATACTCAAACTTCTACCAGGATCTCTTCAGAACCTTAATTCAAGCTTTTTAAGAGCACTTCTAGTTAAATGCCTTTTAAAAAAACTGTTTTTTAAAATAGAATATAATTTTCTGGAAAGCCATCATTTAAGAGTGACATGAAAGACAGCATCTGAGGCTTCGGCAGAAGGCCTTCGAACTGTGCTGCTGCCCCTGCGTCCCCGAGGGGCAGCGAGAGGGCACCTAGTACCTCCAAGCTCTTCAGCCCCGGGGTGGGAGAGGCACTGCCTGGAAAGGGTGCCCTGCCGGGTCCCACAGCACTGCCCTGATGTGGGGTGAAGGAGCTCCAAATCCTGTGCGGAGCTGCAATTAACACGGTGTGTACAGCGGCCTGTTTGGGATGATGTCAGTCGATGTTAGTTACTTGTTGATTTGGGAAATGCTTATCTTTGTATGTATGATAATATCTAACACAATGCCTGGTTATATGGTAAGCACACAATAATGATATTTTCAAATGTATTATGATTATACATAGTTAATAACCTTTTTGGGTTTTAATCATTAGAAACATAACAAAATGTTACCAGTAATAATTATATTTCTCTAAAAATACTTATATAAAATAAATTTGCATTATTTTTCTTTCATGCATTCAAATATTTAGAAAGCACCTATGTATCTAGCACTAGAATAGGGGCTGATAAATTCGGACATTACAGAAAGTGAAAACATCCAAGTTAGTTTTCTAAGAGCTAAAATGTTATGGAGGAGGGGGGGCAGGATGTAACAGATACTTTAAAAAGTGATAAGTTTAAGCATGTAATCTCAAAGAAAATTAGATTTCCCTTAAAGGTTCCCATAAACCATCATTTTATGTCTGACAGATAGAAAATAACAAGAAAGATGAGATAAATTTTAAAAGAAAAAGTATCATTAAAGTATTACAGGGTTAAACAGTATTTTCTAAGATACGTTTAGCCCAGGGGAGGATTATCCTTCAAACTAGGAATAATCTGATAGTAGTATCTAAAAAATAATATCACTTATATCAGACCTGCTAAGCAGCACTCAACTTTTGGCTTTAGAAGAACAAAAACTGTCAAGGTATTGTCAAAAATGATGACTTTAATAGTGATAGAGAAGGCATCATAAAGCTCAGATTTTCTTTATGGCCCAATTTCTGATTTTTCACTGTTTGTCCCCTACAATACCTTCTGTCTCCACGCTCCATTCTCAGTACTAGAAAGAGTCAGCAATTACACAAATGGGAAGCCCTGACAAACAGCTTTTGGACCTCCGCTGGCTCTTCTGCTCCGGCAGCGCCGCCTCCCGCTGCCCGCCCGCGGCCCGGCCGATGCCTCTCGGGGCAGTAACCGCACGCACCCCGCCTGGGCTCCAGAACTAGGGCCTGGCTCCACTGACGCAATCAGAGGGATGAGCGCTGGCGTGAATCTTCTAATTTCTTCCCTTTACCTCGGACATGATTATTTCTGGCCAAATATTTGGCTGGACGCTAACAAATACAGAGCGTAGCTCTCTCTCGGCAGGGAGGCGGAGATACAGACCTAAGTGAGGACCTTGGCTGGAAGACCACCACCCTCGAGGGGCAGCCCAGTGACACCACGGCGAACGTTCAAGCTAAAACCCAGACAAGAAGGGCATCCGCCTGACCAGCAGTGCCTGAGTTTTGCGGGCCAACAGCTGGAGGATGGCCACACTCTCTGACTACAATATCCAGAGAGTCCACCCTCCCTCCGCCAGCTCGCCCAGAAGTGCAAGTGCGGCAGACCATCTGCCCCAGGTGTTCCCCACGCCTGCACCCTGCACTGGCAACTGCGAGAAGTGCGCCCCAGGAAAAAGGTTAAGTAACGCCCCTCCACCATCTCCTTCGGCCGCAGGCACCTTCGGCCTGAACCCTTGGGCCCTGAGGCCTCAGTACAGTTTCCCTTTTTGTTAAATTGGGGGGGAGGGGGTGGGAGAAGAAAGAAAATAGAGTAAAATAACGACTGAACATCAAGAGCAAAGAAAGGGAAGAGGAGAGGGGAAAGAACACTGGCAAACCCTCGAGGGGAGGGGCTGTCTTCTGATGAAGAACTGGCCCCAGCGCCAGCTGGTCTCATGGAAACACTGGGGCACATTCACTGGGGCACAAAGGGAAGAACGGAAGCACTGCCCTCTATCCCACCCCAACGCATGGAGAAACGGAACCACTCTCCCCACATTAAATGGGTCAAGAACTTTGAGAAACATGAACTGGTAAGCTCTGCACCCCGCTTCCTCACACCTGCTACTCTTGTATCTAAGGAAACAGTGTCCTTCTTCCTTTCCAACACCTACCTTTCTGTCTGTATACATGAGCCTGTTCAGTGTCTCCCATCAATGTATTTCTAATCCTTACCCTCTGCCACTAAACAAGCTCAGATTTAAAACAAAAAAAAAAAAAACAAAACAAAAAACAAAAAAAACCACCCAGGCGGTATGGTTTAGTGGCTGAACATCGACCCATGCACCAAGAAGTCGCTGGTTCGATTCCCTGTCAGGGCACATGCCCAGGTTGTGGGCCCAATCCCCAGTGGGGGGCATGCAGGAGGTGGCCAATCAATGCTCTCTCTCATCATGTTTCTATCTCTCTCTCTCCCTCTTCCTTCCTCTCTCTCTAAAACCAATAAAGAAAAAACAATCTGTTCTCTAGACTATCTATCACTCTTAATTTATAGTCCAACTGCTCAAAAGAATAATCTTCTTGTAGCAAAACTTCCTCTTTTCTAATCTGGTTTCTAATTTCCCAACTCTGCTGAAATAGTTCACCTGCCCCAGGAGTATCTCCCCTGACCAGGTCTGAGGCAATTGACAGTGTCCTACTCCATAGTCATAACACCTTCCTCTCTGACTACTATTTCACAGGTGGTCCCTCCTGCTCCTCCGACCTCCCAAACATAGGCACTGACCACTCAGCTTCGGTGACCTCATTCACCCTCACTCCTCCAACTGCAGCTTCCTATGCACCTTGTATTTCTATCTTAAACCATTCTTTGGAACTTCCAAATCCATGGTTATAAAGAACTCCACCAGAGTAAGAACAGCCCATGTCTTTTTTTAAAAATCCTCACCGGAGGATATGTTTATTGATTTTACAGAGGGAGGAAGGAGTAAGAGAGAGAAGAGAGGAGGGAGAGACAGACAGACAGACAGACAGAAACGTCAACATGAGAGAGAAACATTAATCAGTTGCCTCCCATATGTGCCCCAACCAGGGATCAAACCAGAAACCTAGGTAAGTGCCCTGACCAAAATCGAACCTGCAACCTTTTGGTGTGCAGAACAATGCTCCCACCAACTGACCCACCAGCCAGGGCAAAGAGTCCATGTTCTTAACCATTCTGACAACCTACTGTTATCCTTGATTTCGTTCCCACAACCGCCACGCAGGCCCTCACTCCCTCCTTGCTGGGATGCTAATGGCTCCCGAGTGTATCCATGTATCCCACTGTTCTCCAGCCTCAATCCACATCACAAGTGAGTCCCAGAATAACCTAATAACCTAATGACTAGCTATGATTATTTCTCACTTCTGTTCCAGACGTCAGTGGCTCTCCTTTTCCTTTTAAATTAGATGAATTCACACAAAAGATCATTTATCACACTTTTTCTTACATATGCTGAACACTCCAGACAAACTGGACAAAATTATCTCCTTTGTGAACAACAATATGGTCCAATCCTACACCTTTGTTGATTCTTTTCTCTACCTGCGATTTTCTCTCACACCTATCCTAACTAACCCTTGGGGCCTTGCATGCCAAAGGAAATCAATGTTGCAAACGATATTAAGGCTGCGAATTGGTTGACATTAAAATAGGGAGAGAATCCTGTATTATTCAGGTGTTCCCAGTGAATCACAGTATAATCACTTTGAAGTGGGAGATTCAGAATCAGAGGGAGATATGACTATGGAAGACACAAAGACATACACTGTGCTGGCTTTGAAGACGAAAGGAGACCAGAAGCAAGAAATGGGGGTGGCCTATAGATGCCAAAAAAAGCAAGTAAACAGATTTCTCCCCAGTAGCCTTGATTTTAGCAGCGTAAAACACGTGTTAGACTTCTGACCTCCAGAACTGTAAGAGTAACATTTTCAAATATGCCTTTCAGATTGTTAGTAATCAAAACATGGCTAGTACGTACCTAGGGCAATATTTACTATAATCCTATTGAAAAAAATAGTCCCAAATGATAAGCATGTTAACCATTCCCCACACTAAAATACTCTTTTTAAAACAATGTTAACCAAGGACATAGCTATCAAATGAAATCCATGTTTATTACCAAAAGGAGAAGTCAGAATAATATTAATCAAAGATATAAAACCTTGCAACAAATGTAAGTGTAATTTGTATACATGGAAGACTTTAGAGGGAACTATAATCATGTGCTACAGAGCATTTTCATTTCTCTTCCTCATGAAAATGTACAGCTACTTTTCTGTGCCACATGTCCAGGAAAAAAAAAATAATGAATTCGTGGAATATATTAAATATTTTATGAATAAGTTGGAGAGCAGCTTACCCAGTATTGATGGAAATGATTTCTATCAGTGGGTTCTTCCTAATCTTCGGCAAATCCAGTGGTGCTCCCCCCAACCGTTTTCCATTATCCTTTTTCTGACCCAGCAGTCTCACCGAGTGACCTTCAAATAAAGCATATAAACATACATTAGCATGAGTCGCACAATTTCACTTTAATTTAGTGCTCTCAACAAATGTGTTAACATTTGCATTTAACTTTTTCTTTTATGAGGAAAAAAAGAAAACCTAGAGAAATGTGATCATTGAACCTAATATTACCAGAGGGAAAAACAGCTGTGTTTGTGACCTACAGTCCAAATATAATATTGGCACATCATTTTACTGGGCAGATCATAGAAAAAAAACCATCCGCAGATTGTCTCTCTGCAAGGTAAATGCTCACTAGCACACACCAGATACTTGTACGAAGCAGAAAGGGTTCACTTGGGCAGAAGGCGTGCTGGCCAATTTTACACTACAGCGGGGAAAATGTGAAAACAGGTTACCTGCTCAAAGCAAATAGCAAATCAAAGAAGTAAAGAATAAACATGTAGAATTAAAAAAAAAAAAAGACTGGGTTTTTAAAAACAAATGATTTTGAACTTATTTTTTTAATTACAAAAGAAAATTAGACATCTAAAACCATTAAAATTTTAATAATTTTGAATTAATTGCAAGTTATAGAAAAGATAAAAGAATAGTAAAAAAAAATCCATCCCCTTCAGATTCCCAAATTATGTTCTGTGTTTACTTTGTCATTTTCTCATTATATACATACACATTATTTTTTTATATAACTTTACTAAGGTACATTCTATAAAATTTACCCACTGTGAATACACAATTCTATTATTTTAAATAAACTTAGTTTTAGAACATTTCTATCACTCTAAAAATTCTCTCAAGCTTATATGCAGTATATCACTGTGCCCATACCAAATATAACACACTTTATTAATCTGTGTTATGACCAGCTGATGACATTTGGATTGTTTCCAATTAATACCTATTATAATAATGTTTCTGTGAATATTTCCATACAAGTCTTCATGTGGATGTATGTTTATTATGTTTTCATTTCTCTTGGATAGATTCCTATGAGTAAAATCACTGGGTCATGTGGTAAATTTGTAAGAAAAAAACTGTTTTCTGTAGTGGTGATACCATTTTATATCCCATCAGCAATGTATGCGGGTTTCTCCACACTGTTGCCAAGACCTCATATTGTCATTTTTTTGACAACAGCCATTCTCATGGGTGTGTGGTGGTACATTATTATAATTTGGATAACTATGCATTTCTATAATGACTTATATTATTGAGTACCTTTTCATGTGATCATTAGCCAACTGTATGTCCTGTTCAGTAAAATGTTAGTTAATTTTAGGTGTCAAACTGACAAGGCCACAGGATGCCCAGACCTTTAGCCAAATATTACTTTTGGTGCACCTGTGACGGTGTTTCTGGACGAGACCAACATTTGAATCAACAGACTAAGTAAAGCAAACTGCTCTACCTAACACTGGTGAGCCTCACCCAATCAATCGAAGACCAGACACAACAAAAATGCTGAGTAGGAGGCAACTCCTCCTGCCTGACTACAGAGCAGGGTCATGGTCTCGGCCAGCTTTAGGACTCGGACTGAAGTATCAGCTCTTATTAGTTCTCATGCTTGCCAGCAGCAGACTAGAGTTTATACCATCAGTCCTGATTTTCAGGCCTTCGAACTTAGACTGAAACTATACATCAGTTCTCCTGGGTCTCCAACTCGCTGACCTCAGATCTTGGGAAATTCTCAACTTCCATAATGGTGTAAACCAATTTCTTATAATACATCTCCTTATACACACACACAAAAATTGGTTCTGTTCCTCTCTAATAAAAATGGCTACTCGAGTATTTTGTCAAAATTTTAACTGGAGTATTTGTTTTATTACTGAATTGTAAAAATTCTTTATATAGTCTGTTTCCAAGAGCTTAATTAAATATATTATTTTGTTTTCTCTCAGTCTATGGCTTATAGTTTCATATTCATGATAATAACTTTTTGAAAATTAAGTTTTTCAGTTGAATGCAGTTCTATTTATCAATTTTGTCTTTTACAGCTCATGCTTTTGCTGTTACATCTAAGAACTCTTTGCCAAGCCCAAGAGCACAAAGATTTCCCCTATAGTTTCTTTTAGAAGTTTTACTGTTTCAGCTCTTATACTTAGGTCTAGGATTCTCTTTGTTCCTTTTTGTATGTAGTAAAGGTCTAAGGGCACTTTTTTCACACAGATGGATGTTCAATTGTCCAAGTGCCATTTCATTTCCACTCCTCTTCCTTTGTGCTATATGTTGTCACATGTATTAATAGAGTCGTATAAATCCAAACATATACCGCTATAGTTATTGTTTTATACCACTGTATGTTTTTAAAGAGAAAATGTGAAAATACATATTTATAGAGTGCTTTATATTTACTCACATGATTACCATTTCTGGCACTCTTCATTTTCTCCTGAGAATTCAAGTTATCAGTGGGTACCACTTCCTTTCTGTCTGAAGAATTTTTACTATTTCTTGTAAAGAAAATTTTATAGTAACAAACTATTTATGTGGAACTGTTGGCATTTTGCTTCATTTGTGAAGGATACCTGTGCTGGATGTAAAATTATTAGTTGATCGTTTTTTTTCTTTGAGCACTGAATATGTCATTCCACTGCTTATGACCTCTCTTGCTTCTGATGAGAAACCAATTACTAATCTTACTGCTGTTCCCCTGTACATCACATGTCACTTCTTTTTTATACTTCCAAAATTGTGTCTGTCAGTGGTTTGAGTATGATGTGTGTGTGGATCTCTGTGATTTTCCTACATGCAATTAACATAGGTTTTTGGATCTGTAAAGTAATGCTTTCCATAAAGTTTGGGAAGTTTTCATCGAGTATTTTTTTTTTTATGTGTCCTTTCCTTCTGTGACTTCCATGGCACACTTGTTGGGTGTGCTAGATGTTGTCCTAAATGTCTTTGAGGTCCTGTTCATGTTCTTCTTTTTCTTCATATTGGTTCATTTTGTACTGGTCTATCCTCAGATTTATTGATTTCTCTCTTCTGCCACCTCAAACCTGAAAGAGAGCCCCTCTAATGACTATTTCATTTCAGTTACTGTACTTTTTAACTTTAGATTTCTACTGGTTCTTCTCTATGATTTCTACCTTTTTGTAATTCTGTATTCAAGTCACTGTCAACATCCTTTCCTTGAATGACTGAGCATGGTTTCACTTAGAGTTTGGAAGTTTCTGCCAAATCCAACAATTTTGGGCACTCAAAGACAATTTGTACTGACTGAATTTTTTCCCCTTAAATATGGTTATACTTTGTTTCTTTACATGTATCATAACACTTTATTGAACAGTGGCCATCTTAGTTGATATATTGTAGCAACTCTCCATTCCGATTTCCCACCCACTCCAAAGGTTGTTTTTGTTTGGTAACTTACCTGGACTAGATCTATAAAGCCTATCTCTCCACAGTATAAATGATCATTGATGTCCCTTCTTAGTTTTGTTTGGTTTGGTTTATCCCCCAGGTATGACTTCCCAGGGGTCAACTCTGCATCTGCATAGCTTTTTGTCAAGCAGGAATGGTCACACATTTGTTCAAACACCTCAAGCCAGTAAGGTTTCTCCTATCTGCTGATGGATGTCTGTATGAGCTGGTAAGGACATTCAAAGCCAGGGCCATTTTCAAGTCTTCCCCAATTTTTATTTTCTCCTGGGCTTTCCTGAGTCCTCTCCCACCTCCTCCCACCTGTACAAGCAGGCTCCAGAAGGCAGGGAAGTGTGGTGGATTGGGCCCTCTCCAATCTCTACTGTGCATGTTGATAGCCTCCAGTCAACTTACAGTCCATAAAGATTTCTATCAAGCTTTTTATCACTGTCTTACCTCTCAGAAGTCCATGTTAAGTCCCTGGCTAGTCCACCTGTCCACTCTGTGCCAAACAGGACTGCAACTTCAGGGGGAAGAACCGCAACCCTCCCTGTCATTTGCCATCAAAATCTCCACTTTGACAGTTCTCCAGATCAAATGAGCTGTCCTGGGGCAGCAGTAAAGCTGCTAGTTTTCATAGCCTGCTCTACCCTGTTGAACACACTTGCCCACAGAGCTGAGGAAAGTGAGGAAGGAAAATGAGAGCAGCCCAAGGAACAAACACGACAGGCGCACACGGTCTCACTCAAAGTTCAGGTGTTTTCACAAATAAACTTCTCAGCTTGCTGAATGCTTTTAGTTGATTTCTAGAGTGCTGAAATGGATTGTTTTTAACCATTTATCCAGCTTTATCACTGCCTGAGAAGAGCTTTGATGGCCTCCTCACACAATCATTCCACAAGCAAATCAAAGCCACCTTTATAAAAGCAATTATTTAAAATAACTTCAAATGCGTAATTACTACAGATATAAGATTCTAAGCAATTATATACATCTTTCATCACCTCTCATTTAAGAAAGATACATTCCTTAAACATCTCTTATACAGACAGCTTTTCATGACCAGAAGTAATAAAACCATCAGTCATGGCCTTTTTGCACTACTCACTTTAATAAGAAACATTACAGACTTCATGCATTCTGAAAATTCTTGCGCTGATGGAGAAACATAGCTAGAGTCAAGCAAGCATTTGGCATACCAGATTTCACAGATTTTCAAGATAAGTTGAACTCTTCAATCAAAAGTCCAGTTAATGAAGAGATGAGCAAGATTGGCATGATAACATAATAGTTCTCTGAGAAATGCCAAAAGTTCAATAATGGCTATGCAAAGGCATGCTATTTTCATACTAGCGTTAGACAAATTTCATTACATCCTGCTGAGACTTCAGTAATACGCAGCCTGCACTAATAACATTTGATAAATTATTCATCTTCACTATCTACATGCAAATAAGGAACATATCTCTGCCTGATGATATAATGAGTTATTTTCCAATCCAATGATTCATTAAAGAGTGGCAGACCTAACAAATCTGTTTAAAAAAAATCAAAAATATAATAAAGACAAAGTGGGAAATAACATACAAGTCCCTTGTTATATCTAGCCAACAGTGAGAGGAAAGAAATAGAAGCAACCACAGGACAATTA